GGCAGCTGTGGGTTTGTTTGTGTGTGTGCGTGTGGAGGGGGTATTCTTGACCCAGCAAGGAGTCACAATGGGACAGGAAAGATCAAAGGAGGGGGGGGGTCTTGGCTCTGAGGCGTCAGCTTTCTGTGCGGGGAAGATGGAGAGACTGCTCTCTGATGACACATTAACCTACAAAGAGATCATGGCCTGCACTACCATGTGGCCCCGGTGTGGAGCGGGCATTTCAAACTGGGAACAGGAGACGCTTCTTTACGCAAAGGGAGGTGGGGGTGTGGAACAAGCTGCCGGTTTCTTTTGAGAAACTGCTGGATGAAATCCTGGGATTAGTTAAACTACCAACTAGCAAACCGGCCATTTGGATGGCTGGATGGCTCCTCTCGTTTGTGACTGGTCTGGTTTCCCTGGAATGGACACACCGGATTGAGCCGGGAAAAGGAGACTTCTGTAACAAACAACTGAACCTCATCGCTTTGTCGTACACACATTCAAACTGGAGATGGTCTTTTTCACGGTATAAGCTTTATTTCCATGAATTCCTTATATTAAAGAATTTAATAAAATAGTAAAAAACCATATAAAAATACAAAAATAGCGCTTTTCAAATTTGACTTTGTACAATATAAGTTAAATTTACAAATATTATTAGAAATCTGAATAGTTTTACACCCAAAATACAAAGTTTCGACCCGGGATAAGAGGAGTCTCATCAGCCAGCAAAGCCTCTGTCCCAATATGGGACAATATTCCACATCTTCAGTCTCGGACTCTCTAGCCTGCAATGAGCTCAGAGTTTCTGTCTGTTGTGTCAAATAAAATGGCCACCGACAGCTCTGGCACAGGACACCGAGAGGTGAGAATGGAGGGACAGGAGATAACCCTCTGTACTGCAGGCACTTGGCCCAGCCCATGTTAATGCAGGAGGGGGCTAAGAGCACCTTTCCTTAAAAGGGTAATAAATACAATCTAAACTTACTGATAGGAATCTCCCCCCCCACCTCGTCACTGCAACTCCCCGCTCAGCTTAAAACCTGACAAGTGTCGGTCTTCCATATTGAAATGCCCCCTCCCACATTTCCAGTTCCCCCTGGAGTCTTTCCCGGGATTCATCACAGGAGTTGATGTTCCATCAGCGCAGAGGCACCAGCTCCAGAGCTCCTGCCATCGGCGCTCTGCCGGCCGGGACAGCCTGGAGCCCGACTGGGATAGACGCGGCATGACCCGCTCTCTGCAGACGTTGCACAACCGGCGCTGTGTTTCGGATCAGTGCCGGGGCTCAGTTGTAGCAGGAGATGCCGGACGGAGGTTGGCGCGGGCTCGTCCGAGATGGGTGGCACCCCGACTCGCTTTCCTCCTCCTCCTCCTCCGTCTCACACCCCTCGTTGTCGTCGTCATCCTCCTCCTCCTCCTCCTCGCTGTCAGACTCTTCATAGAAGTTGATGGTGGCCTGGGCTGGAAAGTTCTTCAGGAGAGCCTGTCCGTCACTGTACAGGTAGTCATAGGACTTGGACTTCGGCCAGAACAGTCTGGGGGGGGAATGAGAAGGACAGGTGAGCTCAGACTCGGTAGGAAAAGTGTTTTTGTCAATGGATCTCAAATACTGTGTAGTGTGATATCAATTTTTCTACCTCTCATAAAATAATCATCGTTTTGTATCCCCTAATGGATGACGTGTGAAGCCATGACACCACATACAGTTTGGGTTCCCAGAGTTTTGCTGTAATCTTACTGCGCGAAAACGGAAACAGAACGTTTTCAGTCTCTAGCGGCACTCTGAATGCAATCGACTGGAGCTGCACTGGAATCATCTTCGGCATAATGGCTGCGGTAATGAAGACTGATGCCACCACAGATGGTGAGGACAGTGTCAAACTGTCAGGCCCGAATGAGGAACAGAGCTTGCCACTCTCTAAGAACAAGTAATCTACAGAGTCTCCGGGTATCTTTTGAATTAAAAAAAACCCATCAGGCCCTTTAGTACTTGAAAACTTGTGTTTAAAAACATGTATTCTACAGCTCACACGTGCACCTGCACTGGAGCACACTGTCGGAGCACTGGCCAGCCATGTGGTCGCCCACACACTGCTAACTCAGAGGTCGGGACAGGGTGAAGGCCGTAGCGAGATCAGTGGAGCAGCAGCTCACCTGACAGGGTGCTGGAAGAAGGACTGCGTCTTTCCATCGCTCACACAGCTGTGCGGGTCTGCCGCTCTGGAGTAGGGCTGCACAGGAGAGAACAGGTCGTCAGGTCAGAAACCGCCCGGATCAGACCGCTGCTAAAACCGAGCAGCCTTGCCAGTCAAACCACTGTGCTCATCTAGTTGCCCGCTGACCCAGAATCCTGACGCTCCAGACTCTTCCTGAGCTCCCCTGCTCACTCAGAATTCAGCATGTGATCATTAGCCCCAGCTCTTGGTGGAAAGGAGCCTTTCTTGATGGCCGCCTCCTGAGTTTAGTCGGACTGTGTTTTCAGATCTCTGCCCCTGGGGCTGGATCCCGCACAGCGATTGTTTTCCTTTTAAAGTAAGGAATAAAGGAGCGAATGCCATCCTGCCACGGGCGGCTCTGTGAGTGCGGGAAGCCCGACAGGCTTCAGAGCAGTGCCAATGGGAAACAGGCCCCAGGTCTGCCCCGGTCTGGTGCCCCCAAACGCACAGGGGCTGTGGGACTGACAGCAAGAGGGGCTGTGTTTGCACATCTCACCTCAGGCGTCAGCTCCGGGCTCAGTGCCTGAGCCTCTCTG